AAAATCGTTCTGTGTGACACGAAAAAAGGGGAAAATCGTGTTGGTGAACACGAATCAATAGATTAAATGTCGTGACTATAACACGAAATACCGTGAGACTGGGTTGAAGATTTGGGTACGGAGGAAAAGAGAAAGGGTTTTATTTGTTGCTGCTGCGTGAGTTCCCCGACACACCGGGACACATATTTATGTATAAAAGACATAAAAAAGTGCATTTTGCATGATAGGTCCCCTTTACATTTTTATGTATATGCACCATGACATCAAGTCGAATTCCTCGTACGTGTGAACCTACCTGGCAATAAACCCGTTTCTGATTCTGATTCATTTCTGATACTGATTCTGAAAATGTCAGCAGAATTGTGAAGCATGATATTTTATTATGTTCCAAAAGACCACTATAAGAAACAAAGATAAACTGACTTAATGCTTATTTTTCAAGGAAAGATGAAAACGTTAATACGTCTCTTGGCTGTCCATTTCTCCTTGATTTCATTGAACAGTTACTTAAATGTTAGTCTTGGAATAAACCTTTTGATCAGGGGCGGCAGGTAATGAAGCTAGATAATTCAGTCAATGATGAGATAACTATTAAGAACTTATCACTATCAGAGTGTTAACTGTTTTAAATTCTGTCAGACTTTGCAGAGGGAAGCTTAAACTTTGTTTATGCATTTCATGTTTTTGGCTTGTTGTGTTTAATTGTGTTGTTGTACAGCGCTCAACCATCAGTAACCATTTTAAATGTGTGGCAGTAGCATATTAGCCAGACATAGTTGAATGTCTGTAGCCTAATACATTACATTACATTGCATTTAGCTGACGCTTTTATCCAAAGCGACTTACAATAAGTGCGTTCGACCAGGAAGATACAACCTTGAAGAAAACAGAATCATCAGGTTTCATAGAGCCAAACATTTCAAGTGTTACTCAACTGGCTTTAGATAAGCCAGTCCTTTATATAAGTGCTTTGTTAGCAGTTCTTTGTTAGTAATTCTATCGCTCGAAGTGGAGTCGAAAGAGATGAGTTTTCAGTCTGCGCCGGAAGATGTGCAAGCTATCTGCTAATAAGCTTTTATATAGCATTATTATTGCTTTGTGTTGCATAAAAATGCATTAGCACCTGCTATACACAGTACCCTGTAGCTCCTGTGCTGTGCGTTATTGTATGTCAGTAGCTGCATATAATCACTGTTATAATACATAATTACGTCTTCTGCGGTGATTAAAACAGGTATGATAGTTTTAAATATGTGTGCACACGCCACCTATGCCTAAGCTTATATAAAATAGTGTTGCTAGAGCATGCATAACACCAGGACACTTGCTGCATCACTGTGTCGTGCCTTCATTGGCTCAGAGTTGAAGCCAGGCTGAACTTCAAAGTCCCCTCTTTAATTACACCAGCTTGCACCATCGTATCTATAAGACTTCATTGGTTTCCATGTGCCATCTCCGCACTCTCACCAAGGTGCTGGTCTTCGTATAATAAGGACCGATGTACCTGAAATCGAGATGATTAGAAGTCTTTAGGCGGAAAAAAGAATGTTTATACTGAGCTTCACATCTTTGGATTGAACTCCCTCTTGTATCTGATGAAGCAGAAACTCAGTCTGACAAACTCTGTCTGATTCAGTACTGGATACTAATTTGGATATCAAAGTAAACAGCTGCCTCTCTCTCTCACACACACACAAACATGGAGACACACATACATTATATAATGCTAAACACAAAGGTCATATTTAATGAGCGTCTACAGTCACATCTCCGTGAGGGTGTACTTACACACAGCGGTGCTTTGAGCATGAGTTTGCATACCCGCGATAAAAATGCTAATATGCTGATGTTTACCAAGCATAATGATTGCCATGTTAACCATTGCGGTTTAGAATGTTAGCATGTATTTGCTAATTAGCACTGAACATAATGTACAGCTGAGGCTGAGGGGAACATCATTAGCTGTGTAGGAATATGGTCATAGTATTATATTAACTTTATCCACAGTGGCTCTCTACATTTTCTCACGCTTAACTAAATAAATAGGGATATTTCAAACTATATTTAATAAATAATAACAGTTCAGAATAATGTATAACCAACTCAAATCACCAGAGGTAATAAACAACCATTTCAAATATTTTCTGGGGAATATTGAGTTATTGTTTTAGGAACTTTTTTGCTGGGGAATTATATAAATAATTGTTTGTATTATGTATTTTTTGTCAACAATCATACATATTTAATCTTTATTTTTCAAAGTAAGTGTTTTCTTCTCCCCGGTGCTTGGTCAGCTTTCTATAAAGTCTTTTGTAGTTTTATCTGCAAACTTTTTAGAGCTGTTCAGCAGAGAGATAAGGCTCGGAATATAATAACTCCTGTTATTGGCCACACCAAGACCTTATCCTGTAGGTTTAAACAATTATCCCAAAAAATAAAATAATGATAACACACATTTCCTAAAATGTTCCTTTACAGAAATGAATAAAATGTTAAGATTTAGCTCGACAGTACAGTATATTACAAAAAAAGTCCTGTAACCCCTAAATCAGGACCTTGCGGACCTGTGAAGCTTCAAGCAGTCCCAGGTAACCCTAACCCAGGTTGGGAAGCAGTGCACTACAAGACAAGTTAACATTTTCAAGTTATTACAATTCAACCTGAAGGAAACAGGAATATCTGTGCCAATTTTCTACTGGGGCACGCCCAGGCATTTACACCTCTTCTTGATACTTTTCTGTGACCCTTGATATAAGTATGATCCAGATACAGATATCAGGTCTGCATGCAGTTCCAGTATGATACTGTGATTCCTGGTTCATTTCAGGCTGATGACTTGTGTTGCCAGGTTTATACTTTGATAAAAAAAGGATGTTCAATAAAAGAAAATTCCATAAAGTCCAAAAAATCATGTTCAGGATGTGTTTTCTTTTTCTGGAAAATACAGTAAAATATTCAGTTTGGGAAGATAAAACTGTAAGAATTGCATCATCCGCTGTGGTGAATACAAACATATAATTCCTACCTATAATAACTCAGTAATGAATGTAAATAAGCTTTCATCATTTGAAAACGTTATGCATTGTTCCTGCTAAATATTCATTAGGTTCCATCTACAAACTACAGCATCTAGCATTTTATTAAAATGATACAGCTCGAGGAAATAAATGCATTGTGATTAAAACCAGACGCCGTCGCTATTGTCAAACTGTTCACGTTGTTCACAGAAACCTGCACATAAGTCTCAAGAGCCAATAACATGAGATGAATTGGACATGACAAGATCAGCCTGGCGATCAGATGGCCGTGACACAAGCGTTTGGATTCAACCCTCGCTTAAACAAAAGTGACAGTCTTAAATAAATGAATTTGGTGAGACAAAAGATTTAAACACCGTTTCCCTCACAACCTGCGAGCATCCTGGGACTATCAGAGCGGGAATCTGACTGGAGGGCAAGATGAATCTTATCAGCTTCTTACATATTCTGGGCTCTGCCTCGGAGCCGGTATCAGTAATTACAATTTATTAGGATTTGAGAGTCAAGGAGCCGATGAAGATCACAGCAGGACTGGAGCATCTCGCCCACATTTCACTCAGTTTGAACACGGGAATGTGCGACCAAGAGGAAAGTCTGCAGGGTTTTATTTCCACATGGTTCCACAATTTATTTTGAATTTTTGTCCAGCTCTCCATGTACACACAATAGTAACACAAATAGCATGGCACTGTAAACAATGAGTGAAGATACTTTTAGTTTTTCCTGGATACAACCCATTAGAATCAGGTCAGAAGTTGGCTGTTTTATAATGGAGATGTCACCAGATAACGTGCTTATTAGGTGATCATGTTGTCTAGAAATGTTAGATGTCTCACAATTGGATTCCACATATTCTTCACAATGTCTCGCTGTTGACCAAATGTTAGAAACAACGCATTAAAGAAAACTACTGTAAAATGTTTAGCAACTTGTAAAAAGGAATATTCGCAAAGGCATCTCGGAGCACTTTCTGTCAAAAATGGATCAAGCATGCTTACATACAATCAGCTGTGTAAATATAATTGTAACAACTATATTTGAACAGCCGTTAAGATTATAGAGTCACTGGTAAAATACATTCAGAAGGAGGTCAGATAACACAAGACCAAATCTTCATTTTGTGGAGGCAGGAAGAGCAACAGCGTAAACTCTGGTCAGTGAGAAGAACACCAAATATTAGGAACCTCGTTTTCCACTGGCTGGACGTAATAATGCACTGAAGGACCCATGCATTTATGATACTAAATAATCCAGAATTTGGGAATGACTGGTACTGTGATTACTTTTGTGCATGATCTGAACAAATACAAAAAAAGAGGTAACCTATTTAGTAAATATGTGCTCATATTTCTTTTGGCATTTGCTGTCTTTCAGGGTATTAGGATGGGATGCAAAACATGAAAATAATAACAGGAAGAAAAGAACACAACGCTCTTAAAAACTAGCTTCCCGCATTGCTCTCTGACTTTCCCTTTAGGCGTAATGGTAGGGAATTAATGGTGTGAAAAGAAACTGAAGTATGACATCCCTTTGGAAGAATTAAAACATAGTTGCTCTAAAATACACTGTGTGTGATCCAGTGGACAATTCCTCCTCTCTATTCTGCTTTGATAAACAGTTACTTTTGTTTTGTTTGATGAAAAGGTGTGTATGAGGTATGATGTATTATGCTGGTATCTGAGAAAATACATTAAAGGTTTGTGTGTGTTCTTTAAATCGTTGACAGCTGTTTTTTTATCAAAGCAGTCTGACATTTTTTAGGGCTTAATTCCACAATTTAGAAGTTGAGTTCAATGAGAATCAGGGAAGGAAAACGTACTGCATCGTTGTTTTTTGTTAAACTCAAGGCAAGCCTGCATTTGGTTTCCACATTTACACAACATATGGCATCACAATCTGACAGCAACAACTTGCATTACAATTAAAACACTAGAAAAGTCATTTGAAAGGAAAAACAGAGGTGAATCAGCACTAATGTAGTGCATAGAAAATCGTGTTTATTCTCAGGAATTCAAAAAAGGCTGTTTGTTTACCTAAAAGGTGTGTGACATTTCCTTTTACAAAGATCGGGCACTGATGAAACAAAGTCAAATGTCAAACGTTCTGTTTTTCCGTCTTTGAATGTCATGACTGCTCACTCGAGATGTTTTGTCTCCCTCTTGACACATAGACGAGACAACCCATCAGGTGGTCCCTTTGATTCTTGCCAAAACAAAAACCTTGAAAATCAACATCTGTGGATCCACTCAGTAATGGGCCTGATGACTTGTGGGTTGACACCACTTTATGTTCACATTGCAAGGAGTTAGAAAAAAGAAACTAGAGGTCCATTCATTGTGTATGTCTTGAGACCTTTTGTCTCCTTTTTCCCCATGTTCGCCTCTTCTTCCTCCGGGGGTACGGTTGGTTGGAGCCAAAGTTCTGGGCCACATCGCCCTTCAGCAGCAAATCAGGTTCGTTCTGTCCGCTGCTTTTTTTCCAGTACAGCAAATATCCCCCCCGGCTCAAAGCGGCCAACAATCAGAAGTATGTGATGGACGTGCTTGCTTACAATCTGAACGCAGTCAGGAGTGTGCGAGGTGGAGCACGTCCCTGTGAGGTATAACAGTTACATATCCAAGTCGCCATCGTAGGCCAGGGTCAGGGGTTTCTGCGGCGGGAGAGACGCCTTACTGCTTTTGGATGGATTACTGAAACAAATAGAAAAAGAAAGAAAAGTTGACAGCGTATCTGACTTAGCAGAACACGACAACCCAACTTTATTTCAGTCTTTACAAAGAGTTCCATTATCTGATAGCAGCTGCACACAGCAGACAAAATACACTGTTAGGAATATAACTCATGCTTGACAAGGTTCTTTTCAAGGAAAAGCAGATGGTTAGGACTTAGCTTCGCTTCTCGGTCTGTTCTCACCTACCATGATGGCCTACAATGGCTCTATTGTTTATTGGAATTTTGCATAGTGAGCAATCTCTTTAGAAAGCAATAAAGTACATACCAGACCAAGAAGGATAATGCAATAATGAAGAGTATTAAGAAGAATCCAACGGCGGTCACGGCGTAAACCCACAGCTTTACTCTTCCATCTGTGCAATCAAAAAGCAGCTTTATTACAAACTTTGAATATATCAACATATACAGCTTTTGACTTGAGATCTTTTTCTCTCATATGCCAGTATAAAGAAGTTATTCTCCTTTCAACAGGAGCTACTAGAGTTTCTTGACATTTGTATGGTCAACTGACAGCCAATTTAAAACATTGACACAGAATGGATTCCACCCACAACCTGGAGATCTGGGAGCTACAAAGGCAGGAAGGATCTCATTCGCACTGGCCGAGCTGTTAGAAAGATTTCCATTTCAGTACCTGGGCCAACAGGGCGCAGGGTCCACTCGCCGAAGAGGTCCTGGGCCTGAGAGGGCCCCGGCTTTAATCTTCCAGAGTTGGTTTTCACATCAGCTTTCTTGTTGTTGTCCACCCCCGGGGTCCTGGTGCAGTAGTCCAAGAAGCCGTGCGTGGTCATCACTTCAGTGTAACCCTTCTCACACCCACACACTCCGCTCTGCATCGGAGGGAGAACATCATTTTACAGCCAGCACTAGACCACCGCGATCGTTACTTTCCCACCGCAGGAAAACCAGCCTGCGATGTATAGGGACTTTTAGATTTAAATCATTTCTGCAATTAACGCAGGTTGATTGATTCCAACCGTGACATTAAACTGTGCTCCTCAGGGGGTAGGTTACAGCGCCACCACCCAGATCTCAATACTGATAAAAAAGCCAGAGCTAGACTAGAAGGAAAAAACTGAAATATAATTAATCAGATAAGAGTGATTTTTCCTTTTTTTAAATTTTTTTTTAAAATTTATTTTATACACAACATAATAAAAAACTGTTAAAATGATAATACAGAAAGTACTAATCAACAACTCAGGAAGGAAAAGGGATGAGAAAAAGTAATAACACTAACATTTGAAGGATGTATCATTAATTATCATACAAACATTAATTGTCAACAACTAACATTAGTAATTCAATAAACCTCACTCATTTTGCAAATTGTTGTTTAAGATATGAACATGATTTTTTAATTCTCATGATTATTTCCATTTCCACAGTTCATCTTCCTTGTAATTTGTTATTATAGGCTTTTTAATGCATTTGACCTGCATTAAACATCCAAAATGTCAAATGTTTCCTAAATGCTACACCTTTTTACTTTGTACGTGCAGTTACGTGCAGGGTACTCTAAGGGGCAGTAAAACTTCAAGCTAATTATTCACCATTTTCACAACAGCTTGAGTGCAGTTACCCAACCCCCCCCCCCCCCCCCCCCCCCCTTTCATCAAGGTGTAGTCCCTAACTGACACTGAGTCCCCACTCATTGGTATTAATGTGATCCTGCTTTAAATGCCTGTTCTTTACAATTAGAAGTGGCATCTGTCAAAATCCATTTAACTGCTCACGTGGAAAGTGTTAGCAGCAGGAAACAGCAAAACACACAGAGAGAATTACACAGATCACAGCTGCCTGATCAAAGAACCATGATCTTACCGGTGTGCAGTGTGAGAAGGGTTTGGTGCAGGGAGGATGGCAGTGTCTGATCGTGGTGGGCCTTTTCTGCGGGAAACAACCCCCTGGAGGAAGACAACAGGTTCTTATTTCTGTTCCTGTACCCATTGATCACTAAATGAATGCACTGTCACACCTGATTAATGGGCCCGGTTGCCTATCACGGTCCCTGATCAATTTGTGAACATTTTAATTCCAACACGGAAAATTGCATGTCAAAATATCAAAGAGTAATGCCTTGGGCTCTTGCCTTCTCTGCGGAGCGAGGTTATCCCTTTTTGGCTCATATTTGCCAGAAACACTTCCTTACAGCAATACGATCACATTCAGACGCTATTTACAGCACTTCAAGCTCGCCTAAAGCTTTTGTTCCCACAGCGCTATTACCTTTGTTCTGTTTCTCTACGCTTCTTGATTTTCTTTTTCTCCCACAAATACAAATGCATGATTATATTTATATGGATTGAAAGCCTCCAAGCTCTGGGCTATTGATTACTCATGTTAAGAGGGAGAGGAGGAATCAATGCTGGCTGTGCTGAGTATTGGCAGATCAAATAAGGTGTTAAATTCAACTAGAACGCTATACTAAAAGTATTCCTCATGTGTGTGCGTGGCTATAATTCTGTGTGCTATAACCTATTATGCATTATTTTTTAAATGATGCCAATAGATTCCCTTGCAGGGGGATACTGAACACATCTTGTGCAAAATCCAAATATTTTGTAATGATATTGAGGTTTGCGAAATGCATTTCATCTATTTTTGCATCTACCTGTCTGCCTTGTTTCCAAGCATTCAATTATCTCCAGAACTAACAAGAAAATCAATTGTAGATGTATTTCTAAACCCCCTGCTGCAAGAATCTCTGACAAAATTACCGGTGTGATATCTTTTCCCAGAATGAAAGAAGATGGATTTCCTGTCATGGTAACGCTGGCAAACTCCTCAGTGAGCATTTAAACTAGCTGCATTGTAGAACACATGTGCAATGCAGGCTATATTGAAAAATGAGACCTTGTGCAGCTTTTTGCTGTTAACACTGATTTAGTTTAGTGCCGGGGAACAAAAAAAAAGAACTGGGACACTTTGGGCTGCAGTGTGCATTAGGCAAGATATACAGTAGATAGTTATGTAAGAATTTGGGTCAGTGTGTTCCTCTGAGTGCTTCTGCGTGACACCTTTTAGGGTGAACAGAAGATATTTGGCAGCTACTCACCTGTGACATTGACACCATCGGAGCGCTGGCACCACACCGCCCGCTTGTTGTTGCTCCATCCTCCCGTCCTCCACTGGTAGCTGTGGCATTTCCCCCCTGTAGCAATGGCAGAGACGATGCTCATTAGCAGTTTGTTTCGGGCACTGGCCTGTCGTCGGGCTCCTGTGGACATTAACTACCACTTCTCCTGCTGGCCCCGCTACTTCACATGATATAAGGTAAGACATGTTGTGTTTGTAATGATAGGAAAAGTGCACATGTTTCTGCTAGAGGACAAATGCATCTTTGGAGGAAATGAGAGGGGAGAAATTGGCTGGAAAAATATGAAAAACCTCTTATTTCATAAAAGATAGGCTCTTATCTTTGGGGAGCTGAGGGGAACATTCATTTGAGAAGAGGAACAGATAAAGACACAAGAGCCTGATTTTATGAATCAAAGTAAATCTTGGCACACATGTCGTGTTAGTTATGAGTAGAAGAAACACCATAGGAAAGCACATACTTACATTAGTCACACAGCTAGCTACAAAGGTGAGCTAGAGTCAAATGAAAGCCAATACCATGATACATAGTTTAAAAAACAGCTAATAGAAAATGAAAAAATACCCCAAGACTGTGTGACATATATCAAGGTATGTAGGTAAAACATTAAAAAGAGTAAAGATTATTTAAGTAAGCAACTAAAGATGTAAAAAACGTATAATAAAGACACAAATAAATTCATCTCACAGAAACAGTGAAACACAAAGTGGACACAGATAGTCCAAAACAATAAATAAGTAATGCCTTGAGAAACACACACAGCTCCCTTGGGTCATTAAGTCATTGTAAAGCCTTCATTTATCATCAAAATGTGATAATTGGTGTGACAATCGTGACTATGTTGAAAATCGGACACTTTGATGATAACTCTTTCGTTCGTTTTGCCAACATGTGATACAGAATCAATGATGACTTTGCAAAAACAAAAATTGGCTTGAAAAGCACTTAAAACACCCTTTAGCCTTTTTGGATAGTCAGCTCCATAGTGAAACCCAAATAAATGCTCCTGTCCATTACAGTATATCTGTTATATGAGCTGTGGCAGTGTGTGAGTTGATGAGTGTTTTGTCGCAGTAATACTTCCCTCACAAATGTACGTTTAAAAGCTCACAAATACACACTGATTAAAATAGCCAAGTGAGGTATCAAGTTCAACAGGATGAAACAGAAATCTTTTGACGTGGCCCTAATAACAAGTATTTCATGTTTATTGGGGGAAAATTCTTCACTTTAATATTCAATCTTAAGAATCAGAGGCATTTGTTATATAGGTTTCTGTGCATGTGAATGGTCTGCAAAGGCTAACATCCAAAAGTTCCCTCCAGAGGGAGTTTTTCTCCCACACATTTATTTCAGTAACGTAGTGACATCACTATGTATCAATCGCGCTTCTTTTTGGCTAGCACTCCAAAAAAGTGTAAGTGATAAGCTAAGAGCCGAGACATCTCTAAGCGATTGACCAATCACAACAGAGCCGGCCAGCTAACCAATCAGAGCAGACTGGGCTCTGGTTTCAGACAGAGGGTGAAAAGAGGTGCTGCAGCACAGGCAGTATGAGAAAAATAAAGCACCTTTTGAACCTTAAATACGATAATACTTTATCATATCAAGTGTGAAGTTCTTCTTGCATGACATGTACACATGTCACAGTAGAGGGACAAAATACGAATGTGAACCTGAACATTTTCATAATTGGGCCCCTTTAAAGATCCAAGGCTTGTTGTCTAATTGTTGTATAAAAACGTTAACATAGTTTTGTTTGGTCTGGGTTCTCCACATGGCAACAGTGATGTAGAAATGTACTCAGGGTGTGTGGACATCACGGCTGTGTGTGGTAACAGGTGGAAATGTCCTTTAAACATAAGAGGTCAGTGAAACAAATACAAATGTTAATTTACCTTTTAAACGTGTTTTACAGATTATTTTCCAGGTCTGTTTAGGGTCAGAAAAATGTCCATGTTTGAAATCACACATCAATGTAATGTCTGTCCAAAATTCACTCTCCTTTAGTTGTTTTTGGACTTGACCAACTCCTGAGGGAAATATTTGGCTCTTCAGCTGATAAATGCTCCACTATGTTCGGCAGCCAGTCATTAGCTTTGTATGTCTGCTGTTTAGTGCTGGTCGAGTACTGGTTTCATCTGAGGTTTTTTTTTACTGAAAATCGAGTTGGAAGACGCTTCAATGCTCCATTGAGCTGAGGGCTGGGGGGGATAATTCACTGGCTTTGTCACCTTCAATCTTTTCAAATCCAATGCAATCCATTATTAGAGGCCCTATTATGCTTTTTTGGTGTTCTTCCTTTCCTTTTTATATAGGCTTTTTTTTTACATGTAAATGGTCTTCAAAGGCTAAAATCCCAAAGTTTTCTCCAGAGGGAGTTTCTCTCCCCCTCTCTGACACTGTTATTTTCTTCCGTAACACAGTGTCATCACCAGTGGCGGCTCCAGAGTATTTGTGTTGGGTAATCTGTGGTAGGGCTAACCCATACAGTGGTGGGGCTCAAGTCAGTATTTGCAATGTAATTACACACTCCCCTTGACAGTGAAACGCCACGCGTGAGGTTTAGATTATTTCCCTGTCTCAATCCAAATTGAACTGTATGAAATAAAAAGGCACATTTGTCTTGTAGTAAATAAAAAGGGCGACCTGGAGCCAATCCTGCAATTTCTCTAGAAGTGAAAGAGTTGACTTGCTGAAAACCCAACCCCTGCAGTGGGGTCTGGGGGGATTCTCCCCCAGGAGATTTTTTGAAATACTAACATAAAATACACATTCTGGTACTCTCTTGAGAAGACAAATAAATACATCTATTACTACATGACATATTTAATAAAATGAATGCCATTTTAGTTTTTGGTTACTTGTTGTTCTGAAAGCTGAACCTGCTGCTCCTCACAGAGAGAAGAGGGAAGAGGCTGTGAATTACTTTACATTGTGGATAAGGGTGGATAGCCCCCATTGTTCTGTGTGTCAAATGAAAGACAGCTCACACACTCATCTGATTCATTAATCCCATCGCATCCTTAAAGGTATATAAACGCATTTTTATTTCAATAACAAATGTTTCAATACCTTTACAGGGCTGGGTCTCGAACACTTGAAGTGGGCAGCTTCCCTGGTTCTCCATGACCTGAATGATCACGGCTCTAGAGCGAGCTTGGCGCCCGGTGGTCTCGAAACTCCGTCCCTCCAGGCAGGTCAGCTGGCACGAGCTCCATGACGACCACACGGTCAAATGGCAGTCTCCTGAGGGCAGAAAGAGACAGAAAAACATCACTGATAGGCACAAATCTATCAGTAACACTTATTTTTTCCAGATACTTGAGGCTGGTTTATATTATCTTGCAAAACGTATTTCAGAGAACTTTGTATTGGCTCCCCTGCTAGCTCTAGGAACATTCCAAAGAGATCAGAAACAACTTCTGCGGCTCATAATGGACCGAATTCACAAAAAACAAATTACTCAGACAGCCCAGCGCAAATTCAGAAGTAATAGACCAACCAGAGAAATACAATACAAGCTATACCTCTGAGCCGAAATACAATAGCAACACCCAATATGGAAAATGTGTCTTTTAGGAAAAGAAAATGTGTTATTAGCGGATTTAGAGTATTCTGTGTGTCAATAAATAAGTTGTCTATCAGTTTCTATCTCGTAGTTCAAGCATTGATATCCCATGTAATCCTATAAGGGTCAGCTTGTAGTGATAACATCACCCCCTCAGCCAGGAGAAACCCTCTGATTCTCTGCCCTGAAAGCCCATTAGTGAGCCACGCATATCATTATCCTTCATCTTTATATGGATCCACTCAATCAGCCCATCCCTCATGCTGTGGAAGCATGCTGTGGCTGAAGCTGGAGGACACAGCCACACACACACTGTACATCACATACATGTTGACAACCCCTCCCCCCCGGCCCCCGCGCTGCGTCTACCTCCTTCACGCTCGACAGACATACAGACACCAAAACACACACACTTCTGCTGCGGCCATCAAACACTTCTGATGCCGAGCCAAGGCTCACAGCAGAGGCGGCCCGAATGATGAATCACGGCGTGGATCAGAGGAGAGCGAGAGGCGAAAGCAAGCACTGTAAGATGTTGTCTGTTAACAGAAAAACTAACAAGAGCCATGAGACATCAGAGTTGTTCTTTTATCAGATGGTAATGATTCTCTTTTTAAAAAACAGGTATATTCTGTTACCCTTGTAGCTGGTTTGCACAGCAACTAAGTAGGCCTACAGACAATAAAGCTTCATTACACGTTTTCAGTGTGGAGACCAAGACAGTGATAAGTGAAGCAGGTTATTGCTGTCAGCTCTGTTGCCTAAAAGTGGATGAAAGAGACAATACTACAAAGGGCGTGATCTACTAGCTTCTAGGTGCTGTGGTGATTTTTATAATGATACAATTAAAAACCATCTTAATGCTTTATGGCATAGTTCTATAAATAGAACTGGAGGGAACTTTGGGATGTTAGCCTTTGCAGATCATTTATTTGCACAAAAACACAATACAGGAAAGAGAAAAGACAAAAAACAGCTTATATGGCTTAATCTGGTGCATTTTTATGATGTTCACGTGTGAATTGTTGCTTCTTAAGTAAATGAATAAAAAGAAAATAATGGGTATTTTAAAGCAGTTTGATTTAAATGTTTCAATCCATTTTTACATTTCATAAAGATGATTTTTTTCTGACAAGTGGTGACGTGATATACCTGAATACTTTTTTCTTATTACAATGACTCTATTTTTAAGGTACAGCGTGCATGCACAGTGCCCGCAGCACTCTGCCAGCACTTTTATCATTATATTTCATCGAAAAAAGCATTCTATGTGTTTGATGTGTACCACAGAAAGCCGCAGTCGCACTAAAGGGAAACAATAAGGACATTCTTCTGACACTAATCGCCAGCAGTGGCAGCCTGTGGCTGTAGGCTACTGCTAGACACATTTAAGCACATGAACATGCAGGGCCTTTTATTTAAGATTTATTTGATGTCTATGTTTAATTAGCATCTGATTTACTTAGTAATTATTGTCTGGGACATGACATCATAAATAATAAGTGTTAGTGGTGTATTTGGTCTAAGATGAAATGCTGTGTGATGCACCGAAGACAAACTCATTTGTCCCCATTGCAACAGCAGAACATAATAGTACACTAAAATAAATAAAGACAAAAAGAAACAGAGCACTGTGTGTTAGGAATATAACACAAGGAATAATATTGAAGCAAGCACATTGTACTACTTTAAATTCGGAGAATGTTTCGGTGTTTTCAACCCACACATTGCTTTAATTTTTCATGCATTTTTGCTTAACTATAGGTCATAACACATCTTCTGCAGCCAGCTACCATGCCACACAGACATATAATGAGGCATGGCCGATAGCCAATTACAGCTTGTTGTTATTGACAAATTAAATGAGCAGGTTTACAAATATATTTATTTAATGAGGCAAATGTTCCTATTTTAAGATGATGGTTCCCTAGATTTCCTTTTGTGGGGGCTATTGGATCTTGTCTTACTGTCATTTTGCTGGTCTCAAATTAGGTTGTCTTAAACTGTTATGAGGTTCATTACTTTAGCAGCTGGTAAGGGACAACACATGCAGCTCATCAGTTGCATAAAGCCCAACCACTTCCAGTATTTCCTGGGTGCCAACACTGATTTTGCTGCCAGCCCTCAGGCACTCTTACGCTTCATAATGATGCACTGCGATTATTTTCTAAGATCATCATTCCAAATGTATCAATCATTGTGATTCAAAAGGGTACATTGGGGTAAGCTGGCATATTTTTTAAAATATGTTTAGTTATCTCACATTTTAATTAAGTATTAAGTAAAAAGTTCTTGGTTTAACTAGTTTTATTATGTTGTTGCATTTGTATTACTGCCATTCGAAAATCCTTGCTTTAGCACTGGCATACAGCCTCTTGGAGTGCAGACATCTCATTGCTGTGAATGATTTTAGTTAGCAACACTGTTGTGTAAGAAACCATTAGATCTTTCAAATCATTGATTGTAAAAAATGTCAGTATTGACTTTTGCAGCATTGATGCTCTTAGGCACTGCATTAAACATACATGTGAACTTTATTCTATCCAAGTGGTCATTGTGTCCTTTTTAACAAGTTGTTACTGGACCTGATCGACCAGATAATGTTGAGTTAAAAGGTTCATTAGTTAATCTATGACATTTATTGATTTTGCAATAATTATTTATCCGTGGAAATGTCAACCGATTGGCAGAGGGGACAGTGTATCGGCAGATTCCAGCAAATTAGGTTTTCTTTTCATGAACAAGATTATTGATTATGAAGCAAGTGACCAAGGCCGAATAATTATTTCCATTACATAAATAACGTGTAGTAGTTTTGGTCTATTTGAGCCAATTATAACATACTGTATGGTAAATGCAACTAGATAAATAATAACACCTTATATAGTGAATGTTAATACATTTGAAAAGCAAATAATTAGAGCAGCTTTACCTGGGCAGGGCACGAAGCAGGGCTGCTCCATCTCCTGTTGGATCCGCTGCCTCAGCTCATCTCCACAGAGCTCCTGGTCCACTGGCTGGAGGGGGGACTCGGGCCAGCTGCCCCGGTGGACCACACATGACAGGCTCCTTTTCCGAAGCCCCTCACCACACTCTGCATCCTGTGAGGACACACACACAAATTGGTCTTTGTAAGATTTATCAAGAGATGTTTCCTCACAATATATTGAGGAAAAGGTCTTGACAGAAGCATCTATGTGACTTTGTTGGATACTCACTCCCTATGTTCATTCTATACATATATTTATGTAAATGGCATATTGTTCAATTTGTATATAGTAAAGGTGCACTGTGGACTTCAAGTCTTAACTACCAAGACACATTTTGTGTTATTTCCAAATGTCTAAAACAGTTCTGAATGCATTTCCTTCATGAAACATTTGCAAAGGCAATTTATTTGATAATTAAAACAAATATTGATTGTATTAATACATATTGAATTTCCCTTCATTCCTTTATACTAAACTAATGTTTACACATTTCACAGAGTACCTTTAATTAATATGGCAGTTCAGTCAGATGTCATTTAAACTATTAAAAAAGAGATAGAAAGAAACATGGATTGCTATTTGCTAGGGTTGCAAAATTCCGGGAATTTTCAAAGATGGAAATTTTCCACGGGAATAAACGGGAATTTATGGGAATAAACTGGGAATTTTCTAAATTGAAGGTTGGCTCTTCATAGGGAACTTAAATATAGTTGGGGAAAGTATTTTAGCATAATCTTGACTAAAACAAACAGATGCAATTCAAGTACACCTGAATATCCATGCCATAGCACACTGCTTACTGCATGGCTATTGAGACCACACAAAGGTTCGCAACAGGCTCACAAATGTGAGAGTGGAAAAACTGGACAGAGCCATCCTCATTCATTCATTTAACATTTTGAATGGGACTTTGTGGGGATTTTTGGATGGGGGTTGTAGAGTTATATTTGTATTTATTCATGTTAGCAAACTATGGATAAGCTTAAAATGGGAATAATTTGGGTAAAACTGTGAGCTGCATTTGGGGCCTGTTGACATGTGTTTTTGAGGACAAAGGAAGATGGGGGAAGGTGAGAGCATGTCCTGATTTGCATTCAACTTAGATCTAGCTACCGTGTTTGTGATATTAAGAGAGGTCCCTTGGGTTTCTCTGGTGGTTATCAATAGTAGCAGTTAAGTGAATACTGTTCAAACAATACCTGTGTTTGTGTTTTATATTGATTTCTCTGTTTTATCCTTTCATAAATGTAAGGACTACAAATGGCTATAAACATTCTGGGCTGGTTGGAGTAAACAGGGTTTTATTGCTCTGTGGGGGAGGTGTAGGTATGCAGGCCTTGAGACCTTTTGTTGGAAAGTGAGCCGGTTTGGTTTCCTGCTGGCCAGCGTTGCGTCTCCCAATGAGATGACCTGAAAAGATGACCAGCTGACCTAACACCAAACCCCTCCTTCTTACTCTGGTATATATCCGGTGGATCCCTGGCGTTCGGCCTCTTCTTCACATGCTGCCCTCGGGTGAAAGTAGCTCTGCAGTATGCGAACCAGTGCAGGAGTAAGCCGGCATTACTCCTTAAGCATTACAATATAACTGTAATATATCATGTTGTATTGTAATGATTGTATTGCATTGTGATATTGCCATTAAAGTAGATTATTGTTAACGGTTACTTTGTGGATATGGATTCCTTCCTGTATTATAAACAGCTTCATAGGAACGCGCGGAGATTTGAAAAGCGGACCAGATATCCCTTTAAATCTCCAACAGGGTGCATTTTTGTTCATTTTTGAATGAGTGAGGTTGAGGGGGATGAGTAACATTTAACTCAACATTCCTGTGTTCGTTCTTCAATGAAACAAATAATTGTTCAATAAAATAATTAAAACTAAAAAAAAAAAAAAATCATGTTTTTTTGTTTAATTTTGCATCAAATATTTCCAAAATTCCCCAGCTTACTTCCCATGGAAACTTTCCGGAAATGGGGCGGAAAGTTTCCGGTACATTTCCGGAAAGTTTCCATGGGAAGTTTGCAACCCTACTATTTGCTAATCAAAACAACATTTCTTTTTTGTAATGTCACATCAAGGTTAGACTTAGTAATCTCCAATCAAGCAAAGCATTCACAGCACAGATCGAATACCTCCACAGTGCATGTGGACCAGTCACTAAGCAGCCACGTGTAGCAAGGCCTTATGGGACACGGTTGAGTCTGGGTGACCTGGTTTGGACACGGCCGACCCTCCTCATGAGCCTCCTGCAGGATTCTCCTGGTGCGCACCGACTGACCTGCACAACAACAAAGCATATACACTGTTGGGTAACAACTGAGAAAGTATATTTATATGTAAATAACTCCAATGTTCAAGCCCTACATCCTTTATACCTATGATTCTTAAACAACATTAAGGGCCACTTTTATTATTATGACAAACTATTTCAATAAAGAACAAAACACTGTGGGATTCATAGGAGTGGAGACCATGTGATTGGTGGTGAGAGAAATAAATGCATCACTGCACAAACAAAAGGCCCCATAAAATAACTGTTAAAAACAAGTGGATGGAATGAATGATGATTTATTTAGGAGTGGAAAGACGCTGCACCTTCTCTTTAGCCCATAATATGTTTTCCTCATGACAAGCACCATACATCTGTGTCACCGTGCCACTTATGGTTTCTAGAAAAAAAAGGTGTTTGGTTCAAGTGAGTCATTTATAATGGATGAGAGGGAAGTTTGGTAAATTGCAACAGTAAGTACTGGCTGGAGTAGGTTTACTATGTTGTAACAGCTGAATGTGTGGGCCCTCTGAGGCTTAGTAAAGGAATGGCCTGGTCTCCATCAGCCTTCCAGTAAAGACAGAAGCTGTGTGTGTGTGTGTGTGTGTGTGTGTGTGTGTGTGTGTGTGTGTGTGTGTGTGTGTGTGTGTGTGTGTGTGTGTGTGTGTGTGTGTGTGTGTGTGTGTGTTCGTGTTATGCCAGGGGAGATGCTGAGCTCCATGGGCCCCAGGCTGACGTGAAAAAAAAGGACGTTCAGCCCTGCCATCTCAAAAAATCAAACCAAAACATTAGCACTCCCGCGGGATCCTGACAGAACACGATCCTTGAGTCGTCTGACACAGATACGACGCAAATCCCTCATCAAGGCTGACAGATTTGTTTCACAATGTGTGAAAATGAACACAGAGTGTGGCAGAAACAGCAATAGTGACAGATCGAAGGGAGACAGACAGACAGAGTATTAAATCCCCAGTTGGAAGCGAATGTAAGTGTGAGTTTATTGGAATGAGGGGTTAACTGCGTGGGGGGACGAAGAGCCAAATTAAAATGAATTAATTTAAGAAGATGCTGTTGAGTCTCTCTAATTAAGAGAATAACACGTTTTTGGTCCGGGGGATTGGCTTTGGGAGACCCCAGACAACAATGTATGCATCCCGGTTAAATAATTAACTTTTGCATTTTGAATGAGGTTATAACATGGCTTTCTCAAAGAGATGATGAGCATTCTACAGGTTTTTGATTACTAATTGCATTTTTGAAATCATCCTAAGGAAAGGTATATATTTGATTTAGGAGCAGTGAATCATTTATGACGTCTCTAAAGGTGACCTGTATAAAATTGAATTTAAATCAACCTGCCGTTCTTAAAAATCCAACCTCATGAAGTAAAGTCGTTTACAAAAATGAGCCTCGTACAGAATAAAGTGGGAATATTAATATACATTATTGAAGAAAGGAAAAACTCAGCACACTGTTTCCCTGTATAATAAGGCGGTGGATTACACATAAATGTAAATATTTGAATGCATTTCAAATGTATTCATGCTGAATTAACATCTTGGCATGTGCCCGAAAAGAAGGAATAATGATACCCCGCACATGTGGTCATCTTTGTTTATCAGGTTTGGGTTCACGGCGTTTGAATTAAGTTTGTTTTCTCGCGTGTTTACCTTGGTTACCGCAGGTGTGGGAACATTCAGCCCACGGCGACCATTCAGAGAGTAAACAGCTGACAGGACATTCCACGACGCAGCTCTCCATCAGCCTTGACTTGTTGATCAGACCCAACTGTGGAAAACAACAAAAGATTGAGGAGGGACGACTAATTATTTCCACTAACAAGAGAGACTGAGTACCCAGATTTGCATAATTGAAATAGGCTGCAGTTCATTTCAGGGCAGGGAAGATGAGGCAATTCAACTATTTTACCATTAACCTTGCTTTCAAATGTTATTGAGCTACATTATTTGAACATTTATGAGAGGGAATCGTGCTGTTTAAGGACATTATACCTAACACAGGTGACAATATCACATCCTTCATAGCCATAAAACTGGGTATACCAGAAGTTAACTGCAGGTTGTGCCACAAGACTGATAAATGGTTTGCAACCAACCATTACAAATAGTACAGCAACTACTGTATTGAATAGACAGTAACTTGTAGCATCTTTAAGAGTTGCATCTATCTTTGCATTAATAAATCTAGGCAATACAATTTAATAACGTTTGAGAATAAAGATGTTGATGAGATTAGATACAACATTCTCACATAAACAAATTGGTCAACTGGGCTTTCAATTATGTATAAGCCAGTGGAAACAAGAAGAAGTGTTGTGCTGCAGCACCAATCAATAGTTTACACTCTCCAAACAAAGTGCAATACAATATTCCAATTGTTCTTGTTAGGTGGCTCTATGTCATTTGGCGCTCTATTTCCTGTCCCCGTCGGCATTGGTTAAGAGTTCAAATATATGGTATATGAAAAGAAAACAAACATTAGAGTAACAATGCCTGCTTATACCTCCATGTCTATATCCATTGCCAATTAAAACAAATCTGAAAACTGGCCCTATTTAGATTTTTTCGGTTTCCCTTTCCTGCAGTGTGTTATATAGGTTTTTGTAATGGTCTTCAAAGGCTGAAATCCCAAGGTTTTCTCACACACTCCCCCGCCTGCCTGAATAGCTCCATTGGACTCCTTTGTTTACTTCTGCAACATAGTGATTATATTGGCTAGCGCTCCAACACATGGTATGTGATAGGCTAAGGGGCAGGACATCTCTGAGCGGTTGACAAATCACAACAGAGCCGGCCAGCTAACCAATCAGAGCCGACTGGGCTCTGGTTTCAGACAGAGGGTGAAAAGAGCTGCAGCACAGGCAGTATGAGAACAACTAAATTATGAACTTTTTGAACATTAAAGCAAGTAAACATGTCACAGTAGAGGCATACCAATTAAAATATGAACCTGGAAATTAGCATAATAGGGCCCCTTAAAACTAACAGGCCCTGATCAGACAAAGGAACATTTCAGCCAGGGGTCACCTTTATGGGTTTTGTTTTTAAAATGACTGTGAAGATGCAATTTTTGCTGCTGAGCACCTCACATGTTTCAGCTTTATTCACCTTGCATATTCGCAGGAGTACCCTGACACATTGAGATGAAAAATAAAATTGTGTTAAAGCGCAACTGTTGCTGGATACCCGGGAGATATATTGCTTTACCAACTGTAGAAACCACAATGCAAACAGAACACAGCAGCCTGGAGGCAAATTAGTGAGGTATTTCTCGTAATTTGTTTACATTTATTTAAACTATACAAGACAATTAAGTAATGTACAGAAAATGGTTGGGGTTACGCTAATGTTAACACTCATTTGGTGTTTGCCCAGCAAGAACAACAACACAAAAGATGCAGAAAACTGCCAAAAATGCAGATTCTTATCTGGGCTTTTTTAACAACATGCTTTCTGTTGACTGTCAGAAATGCATATGTAAATGATGTGTGACTACACAATATTACCACTGCTCGCACTTCTTCAAGCTCCACAATCTTGCCATCGCTGCGAATACAGTCCAGAGACGTAACCGAAAACCCGGACCACAGATGGCCGTTTTCACCTGAGCTGGCAAGTGCTCAGTCTGCAACACACACACACACACACACACAGCACACACACACACACACACAACACACAAACACACACCACACACACCACACACAAACACACAACACACACACACACACACACACACAACACCACACACACCACACCAATACAATCACACACACGCACACACACGACACACCCACCACACAACACACACATACACACGACACACACACACATCACACACACACCACACACACACACCAACACACACACCTACACACACACACACAGCACCACACACAACACACCCACACACACACATCACACAAACACACAACAATCATCATATTAACCATACATCTTATTCCACATTATTCACCTTCGAACAGGCAACAATGTGCTCAATTCTATAGTTTGGGAATCTTTACGTGGCCAAGCACAAATACCTCGCTTCATTCAGTTCAATACTTTGGCATTGAGATTCAAAATTCTATACTGTCTTCCTGTTCCAACTCATCCCCTTATATCCCACCTGAGACTTTGTAGTCGTAGGAGAAGCAGCTGCTGTTGAGGAGGCAGGGCTCGGTCTGGACCATCTCTGGACAGGCTGAGCTTTCAGAGGCGGGAAGGCGGAGGACGTGTCTGCTCCGGTTCCGCGCTGCTCCTTGGTCACATTGCTGCATCAACAAAAGAAGCATGTCACCGTCAAGGACACATAGTATATTTTCAGAGATGAGTGGGATGGGATGAATTAAAGGCGTCCTTCAGCAGGCCAAAGAAACCTAAAGGCCATCTCCTGCATTTATATATATTGATAATAATGCTTTCAGTTGAGGCAACCTAAAGTAAGGGTAAGGAATGAGTGCTTCTTTGTGCAATAGTTTAGATTTTTGAACACTAAATGTAAGACTTGAAGGAGTGCAACAAATAGGTTATAGTTATTATTTATATATAAGGATTTTTTTATGTGAAAAATGTACGAGTTATAACATTCTAACGTAATGAGAAAATAAATTGCCTTTTTAACAGCAGTAATATTAAACAGCCAATGTGGCTAGGTGCAAATAGCATTGTTCACTCTAGTCACTCTGTTCACTCTAGTCACTCTGTTCACTCTAGTCATCGCATCTGCCTGAATAAAATATTGTTATTCTGTATTCAGTTTTTTTGGGAAATAAAATTGAGTATGATTTTTCCACAAAACTCAAAACAACAGAGTGCCCTTTGAAGCCATGTTACATTCGATCAATCTAATATCAGAACAATAGCTTACAGTACTTACATAATTTGCTTGGATTTTGGAAAGTGGGGGTTAGTAGGATGGAATGGATTTCACCATTGGTTATAATAAAAAACGTTTCTTTCTTTTTTTGGAGAGCAGAAGTGTAGTAGCTAAATATGGTCACATTTGTATTTTCAAATGTCCTTTTGTTGAAGATGTAATTAACACATTGTGGAAGTGGTTGCTTTTTCACAATTATTTTCTTGTTTTTGAGAAGCTATGTCAATTATATAAAAGTACCGTGATTGGCATCTTAATGCGTATCCATGACCGACTTGAGTTCTGTTATAAACTACGATTTGCTTTTATGTAAATGTCAAGAGGGTTGATTTTTTGTTTGGAATGATTTTTTAAATGTCACTGAATAATTGATATGGGTAAAGTGAACATACTGTATAAAAAAAATAAGTGTGTGATACGCACATGAGATGAAACTCATTATGCTTTTAAAGCCATGGAGATTTCTTACTAGAAGATGTGTTTTTTTTAGTTTAACCATTTTAAAATAAATGTTCCTTATATCTTAATCGAGTGATATCAATACTTCTATACTACAATTGCAATTTTTTAATGAACGCTCTCCTTTCAAGCCATCCTACCCATAATTTGAGCCTATTCTGCTATGAAAGAACTTAAGGCAATTACATGCCCTCAAAGTCTGTATAGCAAGACATTTATGCTAAATTCCAATTTCAATAGTAAAACCCCATTATGCACTTTTACCATCTTAACCTCATCATCCCAACCTTGTTCCAGAATCTTGAAAATCCACACAGAAAATAATCTTTTCTCTTGATATGACATTATCTATCTAACTATGATGTACATCCTAGAGATAGTATCCTATAAATATGATCAAGTATCTCCGCGTTGTGAAACTTTAGACTTTAAAATACCTTAGTTTCTGTGTAATCCTTTTTAAACAAGGTGTTATTTCTTTTATGGGAAACTCCACAGTGTGCACATTTACTGACAGAAATCTGTATCAACATCCTCTTATATCACCCACCTGAGGCCTTTGAAAGAACTGGGACACTTGTTTGAATGGAATTCAACATAACTTGACAGGGAATAAGCTAACTGCTGCCTACAGTGTTAATAAAGGCTGTCATTTCTGTCTGAATGATCCTGCAGAGAAGGCAACATGGCAGATACCTGCATTTACTGCATTATTGACTTGTATGCAGGGCTGTTGAAGGCTGATGAAGAGGGATAATTATTAAAATATTAATTGAGTGCCACATTTACCTAGCATCTACAAGGGACATGCAATGCAAATCACCCACAACAGTGGAAATCTGTGAAGAGAGAAGGTAATAATGTGTGAAAATGTGTGGAGGAACTGTCAGCTCTGAGGAAAGAAGAAAGATTCCTCTGATACATTTCTCTGCGTTGAGCTGTATTTGCCCCTCTGCTCCTGATGCTTCACACCATGCACCTCCATCACTGTCACCTCCTAATGAGGGGCCTCTGTGTGAGGCTCATGAATCAGCTGCAGTCGTTGAGCCCCTAATGTTTTCACACCAACTGTCACACAGCCTTGCACATGCCTTTGTATGCAACAAACAGGAGATCCTACAATCGGAATGCTAAAATGCACGTTTGGTTGTTGACGTAAAAGAGCCAAAGTTTAGAAAAATCTTCATCCATGCAAATAATAATAACAATAATGGGTTCCATTTATAAAGCACTTCATATTTGATTTCAAATCCCGAAGTGCTACAAGTAGTGAGCATGAACAGTATAAATAAACATTACACAACACGGTAGAATTAATAAAGAGCAATACAAAAATAAAAAATAAATAAAAGGGTGATAAAAAGGTCTAGGCAAAGGCTCTTTTGAAGAGATGGGTTTTGAGGCCTTTTTTAAAAGCCTCCACGGTCTGTGGTGCTCTCATTTGGTCGGGGAGAGCATTCCACAGACTGGGAGCAGCCGAGCAGAAGGCCCGGTCTCCCATAGTACGGAGCTTAGTCCTGGGGGGTTTGATGAAGTTGGAGTTGCTGGAGCGGGTGGTCCGCAAGGAGGTATGGGGGGTGAGGAGTTCCTTGAGGTAGGGAGGGGCAGTTCCATGGACACCCTGGTGGGTGAGGACGGAGACCTTGAATTCGATCCTCAGTTCCACGGGTAGCCAGTGTAGTGCTTTAATGGATGGGGGTGATGTGATCATATTTGCGCACTCTCATCAGGATCCTAGCAGCGCTGTTCTGAATGTATTGGAGCTTCTGGATGCTTTGAAATTGAGGCAAAGAGGAGGCAAATCCTACTTTGATTGAGCTAAGTATCGTTGGTGTTTTTAATTTTTAATTTAGTTGTTTAGCCCCTCATGCTATAATCATGTGTATTTTCTCCATTCCTGTTCATGTGTCTTCTCGCAATTATCACTGGCCCCGTGTATCTCGTAATCGATATAACCGGCCTGCTCTCGTCTATCCCACGTGCTCCACTGAGATCCAACATCTAGTTTCTGGTGGCCTGTGGAACTGCCAGTCAGCTGTTCCTAAGGCTGACTTCATCTCTGGCTACACCTCCCTGCAGTCTCTGGATTTCCTTGCTCTCACTGAGACCTGGATTACTCCATCCAACACATCCACCCCAGCAGCTCTCTCCACTGCATATTCCTTCTCCCATACACCCAGACCCACTGGCAGAGGAGGTGGCACTGGTCTCCTGCTCTCTCCCAAATGGAGCTTTTCCCTCTTCAAGCTACCTAACTTTACTCCTTCCACCTTTGAGTTCCATGCCGTCACAGTAACCCATCCTATACAGTTAACCATTGTTGTTCTCTACCGTCCACCAGGCGCCTTGGGGGACTTCTTGGAGGAATTAGATCATCTCCTCTCACACATCCCTGAAACTGGCCCTCCCGCTGTACTTCTCGGAGACTTCAACCTCCAGATGGGGAAGATAGACGAACTAACATCTCTGTTAACCGCCTTTGCTTTCTCACTCTCTCCGTCCCCACCGACTCATAAAGCTGGCAATGTCCTTGATCTCATATTCTCAAGGAACTGCGCTACTTCTAACCTCTCTGTAAACCCGCTCCACACATCCGATCACTTCTTCATTTCATTCTCTCTATCCCTTTCCAAACATAACAAACTAATCTCTTCCCATCCTACACTTGTCCGCCGTAACCTTCGCTCCCTCTCTCCCTCTACCTTTGTCTCGTCGGTGCTCTCAGCCCTCCCTTCCTCTGATTCGTTCCAACTACTGCCTCCAAACTCTGCTGCAGAAACTCTCCTCTCTACTCTCTCATCCACTCTGGACTCGCTCTGTCCTCTGACATCTCGGCAGGCTCGTCAGTCCCCTCCGGCTCCCTGGCTAAATGATGCACTGCGTGCTAATAGAACCGTCCTTAGGGCAGCAGAGCGGAAATGGTGGAAATCCAAACACCGTGACGACCTCCTAACCTATCAAGCTCTCCTCTCCTCTTTCTCTGCTTCGATCTCTCAGGCAAAAAGCACTTTCTTTCAAGATAAGATCCAATCTTCCTATTCCAATCCTAAAAAACTATTTTCCATCTTCTCCACCCTCTTGGACCCTCCAAAAGCTCCTCCCCCCTCCTCACTTCTGTCAAGCGACTTTGTTACCCACTTTGAAAAAAAGGTTAATGATATTCGCTCTTCTTTTTCTGACTCACCTTTACTCACCGCTGGGTCACCAGACCTTCCTTCCACCAACACACTAACCTCCTTTTCCCCTCTCTCTCCAAGTGAGGTTCTTACCCTCATTACCTCTGCCCGCCCTACCACCTGTCCTCTGGACCCTATCCTTTCAAACCTCCTTCAGACTATCGCTCCTGATATTCTACCGTTTCTCACCCATTTCATCAACACTTCTCTAACTTCTGGTCACTTTCCAAACAGTCTCAAGGAGGCAAGAGTAAACCCTCTCCTAAAGAAACCCACTCTCAACCCGTCTGATGTTATAAACTACAGGCCTGTCTCTCTCCTCCCGTTCCTGTCTAAATCACTTGAACGCGCTGTCTTTAAACAACTCTCCTGTTATCTCAATCAGAACAACCTTCTGGATCCGCACCAGTCTGGTTTCAAGGCAGGTCACTCCACAGAAACTGCTCTCATTGCTGTCACGGAGGAACTGCACACTGCCAAAACTGCATCCCTCTCCTCTGTCATCATCCTGTTGGACCTGTCTGCTGCATTCGACACGGTGAATCATCAGATCCTCCTTCGCACTCTCCAAAAACTTGGAGTTTCAGGCTCTGCACTTTCCCTCCTCACCTCATACCTGAAAGACCGTACCTACAGGGTGACTTGGAGAGGGTCTGAGTCCGACCCTTGTCAATTAACTACGGGGGTCCCTCAGGGCTCTGTTCTTGGTCCCCTCCTCTTCTCCTTGTACACAAACTCGCTCGGATCAGTCATTAGCCCG